TGAATTTTAAAATAAACACTTATTATAAATAATTTTTATTTCTAATAGATTGAAAATTTTATTTTAAATCATTTAATTTGAAAAAAACCTTTTTATTTAGATTATTTAAGATCTTAAAATTAATTTAAATTTGAAAATATATAATTAATAAATAAATACTGTAGTTTCTCATATATCAAGGTCCACCTCCTCCAATTTTTTGACCCCTGTCCCATAGGATTAAATTAATTAATTATAATTAAAAATTATTTAAATTTTTATTGAAAAATATTTTTGATGTTGATCTGTATAAAATTAGAATTAAGATTTGTAAATATTTTTTAAACAAAATAATTGTTAGAATTGCATTAATTTTTTATTATGTTATTTTTTTATAAGAAAAGATCTACCTCAAAAATAATTAATAAATTTGATAAAAAATAATTGAAAATAAATCTTTACCAAAACACATTTCAAGTCAATTATAACTTTATTTTTTAAATTAACTTATGTTCTTAAGATTTTATGATTAACATTATTAGTATTTAGATTTTTAAATTTTTTAATTAAGAAATAATTAAAATATAAATAATAAATTTATAATTAATTTAAATTGTATAATAATAGGGCACATAAGTAAAGCATAAATAATTTCTAAATATACTGATATTATTAGTATCATAACTCTAAAAATAGGTATTTATTTAAAAATTCTTACTGTAGTCTCATTTTTTCTTAATTTTAACAACAATTATTTAATTTTATTCTTATTTCATTTTTAATCTTTCATATTGTTTAATTAATTTTTATTAATTTTCTCTGTGTAGCCAAAAATTATTTTTTTATAAATTTTTTTATATTTAAATACATTTTTTACATTTATAAATATGTATAAATATGGGTTTTATATTTAAATTTTGATAAAATGAAAATAAAATTGAATAAAAAAATTAAAAGATAATAAATAAATATTTTTCATTTTAATTAAATATTAATTTTAAAAAATAAAAATAATATCTTCAATTAAATAAAAAAATACTGATAAAAGCTTTTAAATTTAAATTTAAAATTAAAAAATAATAAATAATTATTTTTATGATTTAATAAATATTAAAATTATTATTATTCTTATTTTTATACTGAACCCAAAATATTTTTTTTATTGCAAAAAAGATTTTATAAATATTTTTTTTCTAAATTTTGGAGTAAAAATAAATTGTTATCTAAAAATTAAAAATTTGAAACTTTTTTTTCAATTTAAATAATTAAATTAAATTTTATTAATTAACAGCAAATTAGTATAAAAATTAAAATATTAGTTTTATTTTAATGCAAAGGTATATCTTATTAATTCTAATTTAAAGAAAAAATGCAATTAAATAATTTCCAAAATGCATTTGGTTAAGCTTAAAATAAAATTCAAATTTAAAATAAATTTTTTACATTTAACAAAAAGATAAAAAGTAAAGCAAATATTCAAATAGATAATTTAAAATAAAGTAAAGGAAAATAGAATTCATAAAAAAATTTTGTTTAAATCCACAATATTTTTTCAGATTTAAAAATGAAAAATAATTTTTTTTATCCAATTTAAATTATAATATAAATACTATACACATTAAAAAAATAACCTTTTAAAATGATAAATAATGACAGTAAGGCATTTTTTTTTAATTTTACATTTAATAAGATTAAAAAAATTTAATAATCAATTATTTAACTTTTTATAAAATAAATAAATTTTATTGAAAAATTTAATTAATTTATTTACTTCTTGTATTTTATTCTTTTGTTTAATTATTCAACTAATCAATTGATTTAAGTCGAAAAACTCCATCATTTAAGCAGCTCCATATTATTGATTCTTAATATTTCTAGTTAGTAGAACCACTTATAAATAATAAAAAAATTTGGAAAATTATTTCTTTTTTAATTCTCAATTTTTAAATATTTTAAAAATATAAAATAATT